GCCGGCCGCGTCCCGCCCAAGCTGTTCTTACAGCTCTCCAGCGTATTTGGTTCAAGCTTCATGTCAGAGGTCTCCTTCAGATTCATCCTCGTTCTCACTGACCTCCGTGTGATGTATGTGCAGGGTGGGATTTCACCATGCTCGTGAGCACCTTTCACAGAATTCAGTTTATGTTCTCTGGCTGCATGCCTCGTTAAGCAGCCACTAGAGACTGCGACTTTGACTGGTCCCTCCAACTCTTTATCCTTTTTGATGGGCAAGTTTTTGTACAAAACCACTTTAGGCTCTTTGAGAACCAGATTTCCCATTTCGAGCTTTCTAGAAGCGTTCTTTTGCTCTGGCCTTTTGCACTGATTTCTCAACTTTATCTTTGAAAGTAAAGGCTTTGCAGGCTTCTTCAGTCTCTTTGGTACCCTGGAATTATTTATATGAGTTAGTTTAGATGAGGTAGAGTTTGATGATGCTGGAATTCTTGATATAGACTGTCTTGTTAATGTTCTATTTTTGCTGTTCTTTTTTGTGCCAATTGATTTTCTGTTAGCTGCAACAGAAAAAAGTGGGTTTGTTACGACATGGCTTTATCCTGAGTTTCCCACTCCCAAGTACTGTAGTTATTCCATTTATTTTAAACATTTCACCAAACTCTGTGGAACAGGTTAGATAGTACACAGTGAAGTGTGAGATTGTTTAACTTGCAGCTTGGACATGAAAAGCACGGTCAAAAGTTCACCTGAATTCCAGGTATGCCTCCCTCACTGAACCAAACATACCAAGTTTGGTTTTTACTGAACCTCTTCTCCTACTCATTTTTTTATGAAATCCATTCCACATTATCCAGTTTTTACTGTTACTCCAGAAAAACCTGAAGATCAGCATGCTCTAGTACTAACATCAGAATTTTTTCCTACAGGAAGAAAATAACCCTACACCTTTAGCTACTGGAATGGTTCCAGTTTCAGGTGTCCAGTTGTCTGTCACCTACTGTCAAAACAAAGGAGCTTTGTCTGCCCAAGCAAAGCTGCGACTCTAGAGCTTTGTAATTAGAGACCATAAAAGGAGTTTGGGAACTGAGTTTTTCTGGTGTGTGTTTTTTTTTTTTTTTTTTTTTTTATCATCACAGCAGCAAACAGGAGTCAGATGGAACCATTAATATTTTCTGCAGCTCCAAACCTGTTTGCTAGTTAAATCAAAGCTGAAGTTACATTTTGCTTACAGTGAGAGTGGCAGAGGTGGGAAGGGGGGAAGTAAACAGATTGTACTCACTGCTCCATGAAGAGAAGTCTCTCAGGAGCATCACAACACAAATCCTTCCCAACTTCTGCTGAGATTACTAACTGTGCACTTTCACTTAAGAATAGGTACCTGAACTATCAGTCCTGGATGTGGAGAGGGAGCAGCTGCCCAATTTAAAGGATCTCTACAGGCAACAACTGCTTAATGATCTCTACCAAGAGCATTTCCTTAACTGTTTTCCTACCAAGTGCAGGTAACTCAGACTACGTCAACATTTCCTCCCATACACCACACTACTGCTCTGAGTTTTCTGTTTTGAAACACAATCACCATTGATACAGCTTTAACAAACGTGTTTAGAAACATGATGCTATTTGCTTTCAAGTAAAAGAGAACAAACCAGGAATACACCACCTATTATTCTTGAAACATTCACAGAAATCCATGAATTTGCTACTTAAACTGCCTTCAGATTCCTGAAAATCCTGAAGACCAGTATCTGAGATGCATCTCAACACAAAGAGAGGATTCCATCCCAGGGATTTTTTCATGAAAGCTTTAATCCTGCACTCCAAGCTCTGCCCCTCACTTACTTGCATTAGCTTTTTCCTGAGTGGTATCTGCATCAGTGTTAGAGCTGACGGACTGGCTGTCTGAATTTTTGCTGCTGTCACCCAACTTTTTAAGTCTGTTCAATCGTTTATCTGTTTCTCTCAGTCCATATTTACTATTAATCACAGGAGTAGGTGCTGGCAATCCCACTCTTGATTTAAAAGCACCAGTTCCACGTCTACAAAGAAAAAGAGGACACAATATATTAGTAACTCTTGATATTAGAACTTGGTTGCATATACAATAGTTTGAATCCCATGTATATTTGGATAAATAATACCAGTAACCACTGAATTAACTAAAACAGTCCACAACCCCCTAAATAAGATATCTATATAATTATTTTAGTGAGGTATGCAGAAGAACTTCCATTTATTTAAAGAAGAAAAAATGCAAAAGTCATCTTCCCTCACTTTATGTCTATTTTAGAATTGTTTCACAGTCAAACTATACAGATGAAAATGAATTATGGCAATTCAAAATATTGCTTATATTAGCTTAGATAGCAATTTACATTTTCCCTAACCACATCAGTCTAATAAAAAACATTGGCTTCAGTTACAGTGCTTGTTACTGCACCAGCAAGAGCTGAAAAGTACAGAAAATGTAATAAAATTATGAAGTAACACAGAACTGTATGATAACTGAAAGTCTCCAGTACATGATTACCATAAAAATGATACAGTTGGGCAAACCTAAAACTTTTAAGTAATGACAGAAAGGGATGAAGATTGAGAATCCCTGTACTTGCACTTCCAACAGTACTACCAGGATCTCCCTGATACTCTTCAATAATCCAGCATGCTTACACGTCACAGAACTACTGAAGACAACTTCAGTTTAGATTCCAGCATGTTGCATGGGAAGAAAATCTGCAAAATTTAACCCAAAAAATGCACCAAGAAGATCAAGAAGGATCTCAAGCTCTGAAAGGTTAATTTTTATGCAGACAATAGTTGTTCTTAAATTAACTGGTATTTGTTTGACATGGATCATTCTTTCAGGATTATTTTGAATTCTGCAAGTGACAGGCAGCTTTAGACACTCAGCTGTACTCTGCACAAGCAACAGCCACTTTGGATCAGAAAGGAACCGTGCTATGAACACCCACAACTGTCTTCTGACGTGTCTCCTTTGGTGCCCAGTTGTCTCAGCCAGCATGAACAGCAGGCTCACCTAAAAAGAGCACATGCACATATGCAAATTTTCTTGGTGGTGATGACTTCTGGACAGGCTTGGAAAAAAAAAAAAATTGTACAGTTCCAACCATCCCACAGCTGCCAAACGTACCCAACAGCTTCATGGAAGCTGAGCATTTTAACATGACACATTAGCACCCTTACAGCACACTCAAAACTGGACCACTCAAGGATGAATTTCTGGTGGTGCACAAAGCAACAGCAGCATTGATTGGTAAGGACTCACTTTTCCCTGCTCAGCTCCCCTAAATTACAGTCTCTTGTATTTGATCACTCTAACACAGCCCCGTGACTGAAAAATTAGAGTTACCCAAATGTTAGCTTTAAAATGAAACATTTTCATGTACTTAATAAGCAACGATGGCAAGTCAGTGAAGATGTTCTGGCACACAGAACTGTTTGTCCTGCAAGTTAATTTGTGTCTTGTTACATTAAAATCAACAACCAAAGGAAAATGAGCAAAATCAAACACAAAGGATGAGGAACAGACAAGGAAGTTTATTCAACAGCTCCCAGGACTGAGGCACATTTTCCCTGGCAGCTCTCTAGGTGAAGTCTGACTGTGCCCTTCGCTTGGAATGAGCTACCAACACTGTGTGAGCTTAGGGGTTCTTATCAGGTTTTCCCCTGAACTGCAGGAGTTCTCAGTGATCCAACCCTCTGGTGAAAATGAAGGCAGTGTTATTATACTGCTAACATGTAGGTGCACCAGGCTGTTTATCTACATGACAAGTGCTTTGTCCTTTATAGGTTTTTTCCTCTCTACAGTTAACTCAAACAGTAACAGAACTGTTATAGAGGCTGTGCAGCTCCCCTTGGAAATAGGTGAAGTTCTCACAAATGATGTGGAGCCTCCAGGCTCACAGGAAGCAGAAGTTTCAACATGGCAAAAAAGAACTATGAAATTCTTTCCACTGACTTTGTGAAGAAACTAGGTTGAGATAGCACAAGTGAAAAATACAGTGACAACTGTGTTGCTGTTGTAGGCAAGTCCTGTCAAACCAGCTGGTCTGACAAACACACAAACCTCAAAATTCTCATAACATAGGGTGAAAACTACTTTGTCTGTTCCCAGCAGAAGAGAACTTCAGGTGAACACAGAAAACATTAATGAAATTTGTTTTTTTCCAGTGGAAAAAAAAGAGCCAGTTGCTAATAGTCGCAGAAGCTTTTCATTCCAACTCCACTTTTTTCAGTACAAATATTTTGAAGAATCTACACTTGTGTTTTGTTACTCTCATTTCAGGCTATCTTCAGAACAGACAATCAAAAGGAAAACAGGATGCAGTTGTTCTCAGAAAACATGACCGCTCAGTAACAACATAAAAAAAAAAATCATTACAACAAATTGCTAGCAAGCAATTATAATATGTCCCAAAATCTGAGTACTTACAATCAAGGAGTATCTAGTTTAACAAAATATATCATGAATATGACCAATTCCATTTGAAACTTACTTCTACCAATGCATACCTTTCACAGGTGTAACATTCGCAGTATTCGTTATTTTCTCCAAAAAACCCATCTCCATAGTAACAAGAGATTTCTTCTCCAGGTTCAATATCTCTTAGAGCTTTCACACATGCTGTATCTCTGCCCGTTGACACAAACTGGAGGAGATGACAGGAAGGGGAGAGGGAGGGAAAAGTTAATCATCAAGGTTGAACAGTATCTGAGTAAGGAAAAAAAAAAAAAAAGTAAAAGAGTTGGGGAGGAAAAGGTGTAGGGACAAAGGGGGGGGAATGTAGGGTGCTTTATTTCTTTAAATTTCCTGCTTACCTTACAGTTAGGTCTGCAATCTGAAAAAGGTCCAAAAGATAAAGTCAATTAACTGTTGATAAGACCTGAAACATGAATAGTTGTAGATATCTAAAGTAAGGATTCACTCTGACTTCAATAACTACAGAATCTCAACTAAATACTGGGAGTTACGTTAGTATTGCACAAATCTATGCACCAGAAGACACTTGGTGTGATATAGTTTGGTTTTGGAGCTCTTCCCTATGCTATCACCAATGTTCTGTTTCCCTCCTCTTTAGGGTAACAGGATTTATCATAAATCCCACCTGCTTTTCCTTCAGCATGCCAATGCAACATTACCAGTTAGGCTTCCACGCAAAACGTTAAGCAAGGCAAAAGAAACTCACTTAAGAAATCCGTTACTGTTAACTAAGTTCACAAAGAATTCAAGGTGACCCACAATATGCTCCCCAATTCAGCTGGCAGGTCCAAAGTCTCTGTGAAAGAAGGTGGCATCGCTGCCTAGAGCCTTCTGTGACTCAGAGCTGATCAGTTCTCAGCTGGGAAAATCCCACCAGGATTTCACCCTACAGTAATCCAGTACGCCAGGTTCAGACACTCTAAGGTCCTGTGCTGTTCAGCCCAGTGTAACTAACATCCCTGCTGAGCAGAACTGCCTGTCCTCCAACAGGCTTCCTCCACTTCACACTCACCGTGGTTGATGAAGGCAGCAGGCCCAAGCCACAGCTGGGCGCAGTTCTTCCGCGTGGAGTACATGACACTGAAGTCGTTCTCCCCGTGCCTCAGCAGCATGTTTTCTTCCATTTCTGACAGTTCAGCAATGCAGCCCACAAGCAATTCTATTTTATCATTACGTTTCCTGTAGTGTAAAAAGAGGAGCAGAAATAAGAATACTTATGCCAAAATGACAAAGTGACTTCTCAAAAAGAAGAGCTGCCTGTGACAGGGAGTGCTCTGTAAACCATTTCTCAACCCCCACCAGCCTCACGTTGTAACTGGGTTGCAGACAGGATATTAGGCTAAACAGCCTTTTTATCAGACATGAAATATGTGGTTTTGTGCTACTGTACAGAATCAATTACACCAATTCTGACAGACACTGCCACCATTGTTTCTACAATTTCCTGAGACTGCAAGCAAGAAATTCCAAGAGCTGACTCCTTCAGCTTCTAGAGTTGTTGAATCCAGAGGCAGGATGTGTTTCATTTGTGTACACTCCCCCTCCATCAGCACTTAGCACATTCTGACTTCCTCCAGCTGCTCGTTTGCATTTCCTATACCTTTTCCTTTGGCCAGCAGAACATAGTGAAGATGGTTAGAACTCCATGACTTCTTCAAAAAAGGCCTAGTATTGACTAAAAAAATAGCCTAGAATTCATACGAGATGTTTTATTCTCCCATGATTAATTCCTCAGCATCAAGCTGGTCCCTGAAAAGACCATTTGCATGGGGGGGAAGGCAAAGAGCGGGGCAAAACGACCAACAAAATCATGACACCTTCATGTGCAGCCAGCCAATCTGCCATCATACATACAGCAGAACAGAGGCACCGAACGTCAACTTATGAACAGGATCAGTTTTGAGCCTCAGTAGTTTTCCAAATACCAGCAGGGTTAAGCACCAGCCCTCCTGTCTTGCTCTCTCTCAGGTCACTCAAGATTTTGAATATGAAAAGTTGACTGATTTTCAACACACCTAAACATGAAGCTTCCACCCCAAAGAATCAGCCAAGGGGAGAATACAAACAAAAAAAACCACCAACCCCAAAGTACTGATTGTATCAAGGTGGTGGAACTTCCAGGTACAGTTCTGAAGGGCTAGAAACTGGCCTTGAACTTCTTCAAGCTTACTGAGACCAGCCACTCAGTCCCAGCTGGCATGGAACCGTGTATCATCATCCCACAAGTGCTGTCAAGAGCACGTACGGCCAAAAAGCAAAGCAAATATAAATCAGGGGAGGTAAGAGAGGTGGAAGGAAGGGGAAATAGTTTAAAATCTGAATTAACCCATGGATCTGCTGGTGCGGCCACAAACATGCTTAAAAAGAAACTCAGATGTGTCAAAATGAGATGGAGAAACGCACTGAGGTTTCCAGGAGATATTCATCCTGCACAGTCAAAACATGCAAATAAAACCCCTCAGTTTCAAAAAGGTAAAAAGTTAAATTTCCTCCACAATTATTTGTTGTATAACTAATCCAGCACAATGTGAGTCTTGTCAGAGTTGTGTTTCTCACAGGAAGCAAAGATAAAGAAAACACTGCACACTGAAAACTGTATGGCCACAGCAAAATACACAGAGGAATGTCTCACAGATGTGTGTGCTGTGTGTTAACTACTCAGCAAAACCAGGCACTGTATTTTTAAGTAAAAATACAAAGTTTTTTTTATTTCACTGGTTGCAGTTTTAATTCATGATCATTTATTTTTTTTTTTTTTTTAAATACCTTTTTTAGCATCTATCAAGAGAACTGACAGAAATAGAATGCAACAGCAAACTGTGCTTTTTACCATTCCTTCGTTGCAACAATTTTGGCTCCGTTCTGCTCCGAAGAGTAGCGATTGCAGGGCAGGATCTCAAACCCACTGTCGGTCGCAAACATCCGCAGATAAATGAACACCTGCAACAACCAACACAGGACTCTTCTGTTACAAGGGAAACAGAACAGTAAGGGACTTCATATAAAAATACTGAAAGTCAGTGAACTGCACACAAAAAAAACCCCACAAAAGAAGGATATTGCAATGGGACGTTATTTGCTGACATGCATTTCTGATTATAGGTTTTAGCTATACATGTCATCTGAATCTTATTTTTCAAAGTGATTTGTATGAATTCTGACATGGGTAACGTGACTATCCAAAGAGTTAAAAAATTAAATATGCCTCAGATGGTACAAAATTGGCCCAACCAACGAAAACAGATCACTTGGTTAAAGTCACTAAGCACTTGCATTCAAGAATTCTTCTCAGATCTTTAAGAATCACTGAGACCTAGCAACCTGCAAGATCCAATTTTATTCTTGTGTCTTTGGAAAAAGGTACTACTCTTCCACGACAAATTTAGATACTGGATTCAGGGATTGCTGGATCAATTCTGTTTAGTTGAAGTGCAGTTGTAGTACTCAAAAAAACATGTGGGGAAAGCAGAATTTGCTGCCTGCTTTCTTCTACACTACTAGATATTATGCACTTCAACGTAGGCCCAATTCCTTTTGGCTCTATCTGACAACAATGCACTCGTTTCTGAAGGAGTTTTGTTTTTTCTTTAATTAACACTTCCACATAAAGCCCCTACACCCAAAGTAACTGAGGTGTTTTGAGGTAGCAAGGCTTCTCCCTTTTCCTTTACCCTTCTCTATCACACAAGTTAATTTATAATAGCTGTAACTAAAAAAATATTTTAAAAAGAACAAAAAAAAAAGGAGGGGGAGGTTAGAGGAAGCCCTTCCAAAGAATGAAAGAGGTCCTCATAACTCTGTGTCCTGGAAGTCGGTGTTCCCTCTTCTGCTTATGACTTAAGCCAACAGCAAGAGGCAAATGTGTTTCCCTTTCTATACACCTATTAAAAGGCAGCCATAAGTCAGCTGAAAAAGAGGGCAGGGGGAAGCTAGCTGGGTTTCAAAAAACAAAGGAAGTTTCTGTGAAAAAGCAATCAAACAAGTAACATATTATCAGAGCAGTGGATTACTTTACTACTGCTACATTCCTAAGAAATGTTTACATTTTCTTAGCCTTTCAACCATCTGAAAAAGCACATTAATTACAAATACACCTACATGTTCCTTGAACAACCTTTCCTGCATTTTGTTCTTGTTAAGAAAATAGTGCCGGGCCCAGTCACCTGACGTCAAGGACTTGAAGGCTTTTTCTAAGTGCTCATCTTTCTTAAAACGTTCAATCACCTCTTTTAGTTCTTCTTGCCTTCCTTTAATAGGTCGAAATCTGAAAAAGAATAAAGCTATTCCAGTCCACTGTTAGTCATTCTCCACTCTTCCTCAGTTACACGCAGCAAAGTTTTGCTAGCCATTAAACTCCTAGCACAAACTGTTCATTAATTACTCAAATCACAGGCCCCTGTTTCCTGAGTAACAGCAGAGGTAAGGTAAAGCCCAGCATACTACTTGGAATGTTAAACCCTTCCTTTCTCAAGGAGAAGAACAACTTATTTCTAAAACAAACCTCTGATACCAAAGATTAACCCACAGAGTAGTATTTCACTGTTTTCAATGCCCATCATTTGGAAAGAAGCAGCTGAAGAACTAGTATAATTAAAGTGTTACTGGCCACACTCTCCTAATAAATTTCCTGTAATTAAAAGTACACGTGTGAAAATGTGCACCAAATAAACTCAATGCTCCCAAGTTCCCCATTTAACACTGCTATCAAGTGATCTCTGGCTTTTGTAGCTGGGTTGGGGAGCGTGTGTCATTTTAAATTTAATTCCTCTACAATCTCACATACTACACTGAAGTTTTTAAATAGGGAGCAAACAATTAGTGCAACTGAAAGGACTAAGAAACCTCAAAAGAGAAAATGTGCAATTACCTTGAAAAATGTTTTCAAATTAACTTTTATCCATCTCAAAGCCTTGTTATATTGACAAATCCACTATATGGGTTTATGTAGGATACAAGTATAACATTTGCACTCACATAAAACCTCTTAATGACTACACAAGAAGCACCAATAAATAGTAACACGCAGCACAGATACTACATCTGTGGAAGACTTTAGTTCCACCAGTTGGTGTGATCAGAAGAATCTTCTCCCAAAATATTTGCTACAGGAAACAGGTAGCTGAGAATCATGAGTAGAGAGAATAGGAAATTAAGCCCCTGGTTCTTTCCAAAACTGCCCTTTGTATCTTCAACAGCAAAAAAAGTGTTACAGAAAAAAACCAAAGTATGACTGCAAGAAGCAAGAGCTCCATTTTCAAGCTGCAAAACCATCAAGAGAAAGTAGAACTTTCAATTAGAGATTATGCTGAAGCTCTACAAACTGCCTTTGACAGCACGTACCTGTCTGTGCTCTGTGCTGGGGCCGAGTGGGGCAAGTCTCATTTTAAGGGTATGACAGACCCCAGGGGACTCCTCAGAAAGATAAAAGTTTTCTAGGGACATGAGGAAGTGTTCTGCAGCTCTCTTTACAGCTCCCACCTTTTGCTTACACAGCATGTGACTGAGGTTTTAAGCCAACAGCTTGTGATGAAATCGACAGGACCAAGTCCCGTTAGGTGCTGCTCAAAGCATGTTACAGTGCTGATTTGATTTCCTCACTTACCAAATTAAGTCTATTTGATGACAGAAGTAAACAAGGGGAAATAAATTCCTGCAGTTGGTGGAAGAAAACCTCATCAACTCCCTCAGTGATACCCTGTTTTCTAAACTACTGTTATCACCTGGCTTATCCTTCTCTTAGGATGCTAAGCATTGCAAGAAGATTCTTTGCAGATGACCACGTAAGATCTGCTTCACTCCTTGCACGAAGGGAAACAAAATACCTTGAGTCTTGCATATCGTAATTGTATTTCACCTTGTACAGGAGTAAGAGTTTAATCAGAAGTGACTATGGTGAGGTTTCCATTTCCTCCATTAGAAGTAAGCCCCTGTGTTTATGCTCCTGACAGGACACAGAAGGAGCTCCCGGGGGCTGCAGCACGTGCGGCAGCAGCGCAGGTTACCAGCGGGCCGAAAACCTCCCTGCCATACAGTGACCAACCAGCCTCTCAGATCTCTCTGAACACAGCATAAACCTGTTATCAGCTGAGAAACATCAAGTAGTTCTGAGAAGACATTAGGTAGTTTCTTCTGGCTGGGGTAACATCTGACAAGGGAGCAAGAGTCAGCCAAGAAACAGAAGCCACTTCAGATTATAGTATGGACTGTACCAAGAAGTTTCTATCAAGTTCTTTATTAATGAATGCACTTCTCCCACCTCCCTAAAACCTAACTGCCTAACAACCTACTGAGACCTCATCATGGAAGAGAACTCCCTTCCCACTATAGATACCATGATCATCATCACTTTTGTTCTGCAATACTGTAAAGTGTCCCTTGAATTGTCAGTCAGAGACAAGGAGAGTATCTCCCAGTTCTCCCAAAGCCAGAAAGACCTCTTCTAGATTTGACAGTCAAAACTCACAGAACTTCCTGGGACATTAAGGGAACTTAAAATGATACAGTATGACCTGAACCTGACTGGTTTCAGATTAAGGACTTTGTTCTCATTTTCAGTTTCAATCAGAAACAGTTTTCCCAACGAGGACCCAATGGCACTTACACCATGACCAGTACAATGCACACCAATATGTAGAAATGTGACAGGTTATATAACATTTTGGTTATATTTTTATCTGCAAACACTAGAGGAGGAAAAGCCACAGGATTTACTGGTGTTCAGCTCTATCTATTCTTGCTGGGCTAAATGAATGATTGCCCCCTTCCTCACATTCTATGTTCCACGCTGAAATGCACCTTTCTTTAAATGACCTGCAGGAGCAAGGACAGGTGGAAAACCCATCACGTTCTAAATCTCACTAGCATCCGAGACAGGCAAGGTATGAGGTGATGAACATAAGCACACTCACTGATCATCAAGCAGCAGCTTGGTCCAGGCTAGCTAAGGAAAGCTGCATCCCAACTCAACAGCAGCCAGGGCAGGGCGGGAATAAACAGAAAAAGCAGGACAGATACTAAGCTCTCGGTGGCAACCAAGACCGACAGAACCAGAACCAATGTCCCACATCTCCTGGCACATCTTACAGCCCCAAAGTGTCACCCTTATTGCAGGTCTTTCACAACACACCATTCTCACTCAGAGGCTGATGATGTCTACCTGACCAGCTACCTTAGGTAGCTCAAAATCTGTCCCCACGCCTTTGAAAGTCGCCCATGTAACTCCATGGATCATGGTCAGCAGGTGTCTCTACAGGTTCTTGTCTTGGGCATTCCACGTGGAATGGTCTGGGTTGGAAGGGACCTTAAAGCTAGTGCCAGCCCCCCTGCCATGGGCAGGGACACCTGCCACTAGAGCAGGTTGCTCAGAGCCCCATCCAACCTGGCCTTGAACACCTCCATGATGGCACATCCATAGCTTCCTGGTGTGACCTGTTCTAGTGTGTCACTACCCTCACAGTGAAGAGCTTCTTCCCAATTTATAAGCTAAATGTCCCCTCTTTTAATTTAAAGCCATCACTCCTTGTCCTATCACTACAAGCCTTTGTAAAAAGTCCCTCTCCAGCTTTCTCTTAGCCCCCCTTCAGATACTGGACAGCTGTCAGGTGTCTGTGGTGCCTTCTCTTCTCCAAGCTGAACGAGCCAAACTCTCTCAGGCTGTCCCTCACAGGAGAGGGGTTTCAGCCCCTCAGGTCACCTTCATGGCTCTCCTGTGGAACTGCTCCAACAGGTCCATGATGTTCTTGTGCTGGGGGCTCCAGAGCTGGACGCCATACTCCAGGTGGGGTCTCAGCAGAGCTGAGCACAGGGGAAGAAGCACCTCCCTGAACCTGCTGCTTCTTTTGATGCAGCTCAGGACAGCTGGCTTCTGGGCTGCACTCGCACCCCGCTGGCTCCTAAGCATCCCCCAAGTCCTTCTCAGGGCTGCTCCCCATCCACACTCAGCCCAGCCTGTGTTTGTGTGTGGGATTGCCCCGGCCCAGTGCATGACCTTGCACTTGTTTAGCAGCAGCTCATGTCTAGCAGAAACTTGTGGAACACCACTCCCAAGTAGTACAGTTAGCACATGCCCAGCTCTTGAAAAGGCCAAAAAGAAGGCTGGAAACAGGAAGAGGGTGTAGAGATTGTAAAAACCCCAAAACACTGAAAGGCCAGAGGAATGTTACACTGTATGCTGGCATTTGAAACTTGAAACAAGAATTAGGTTTTTTTTTAAAGAACACAGCTCTCGACACCCAAAAATTACTACCAAGGTTCTCCTGCAGCACCTCTGTGAAAGCACTGTACTGGTATTTTCTACATGGTGACAGGACAGAGATAATGAGGAAAGATAAAACAGGAACACAAACAAACCAGAAGTGTCCACAGGTATAGAACACACGCTGGAAACCAACTGTATCAGGTCTGGCTGAGCTGATGTTCCCACTGCAGCCTCCTGGTGCAGAGACCTGTGTTGGGAGTTAGAAGGGTGCTGATAACACCCGTGTTGTTATCAGCACTGAGCAGTGCTCACACAGCACCAAGGTCTTTCTAACACTCCCCCCAAGGTGGGATGTGGGGGCAGGAGCCTGGGGGAACATACCCAGGACAGCTGACCCGAGCTGACCAAAGGGATAGTCCAGACCCTGTGACAACAGCTCAACTCTACAGCTGGTACAAGGGGCAGGGGTGAGGGAGCTACTCCCTGGTCCTCTGGAGCAACTGCTATGTGTTTTGGAGCCCTGCCTCCCAGGAAGGGGCCAGACATCTCCTGGAGATGGGAAGCAGAGGACAAATCTGGTTTCTCCTCCTCGCTTCCGTGCGTGGCATTGCTTGCCTTTGCTTTCTAACTAAACTGCCCTTTACCCACAAGGGGTTCTGTCTTCCTCTTCTTTTCCTTTGCCCTTTTTGCTCTGTGGAGGAGGGCAGGGGTGACAGAGTGGCTTTGTGTGCATTCCTGGCTCAGCCAGGGTTAACTCACCACACCAACATCATGATGTGCAGCATTTCACTTCAGTGGTTCCCAAATCAATGAAACAATGACACTGTGCACTCCGAGTCTGAGTTAGCAAGTTGTTCACAGCTCAACACCACATGTCAACTGCACCAAGAACATGTAGTTTATGAGCTAGCCCAAAATACGACAAGGCAGACTCCACAGGAAAGGTTCAGTACTCTCAAAGGTCTACATCCATACACACTTTAAAAGGTACCTTCTGATTTGAGACACTGAAGAAGCCAACATGCACAGTAAGCCTAGAAGTCAAGTTCCTTAGGAATTTGAGGGTCTACTGATAGGCACTTCAGTTCTCCCAGTAGTATCATGAAACAGCAGTTTATTCATTACTCCTTTCCAGCACTACCTACCAAAAAGCCAACTGATTTTGAGAAGCAACCTTAAATACTATCAGGGTGGTGTTACAGTGTCCTCATTTATACATGACATGAAAAAAAATCTCCACATCTGCTGGAAGAGTCTACATGACTGTTTTTGAGCATGACCATGGAGAGAGCCTGAAAAGACCCCACAGCTAAATGCATACATATACCAACTGAGCCAAAGAAAGTGACTTTTCAGCATCAGTAAAATAGAAGACTAGCTCAAAGAAGAGAAATAGAGAGGTAGAAAGAGCACAAGAAAATCAACAATACAAACCAGCCAACTTAGTCTCTGCACAGAGAGCCAACTAAAATCAGCATCGTTCAGCCAGACTTCTGGTTTGCTCCTATGAACAGTACTGTTACTAGATTCCATCATGGGAACTCAACAAGACACTCTGGTGTTTGAACCTGCTCCCAGGCACAGACTCCTTGAGCCACCCTACAAACAGCTTCAGGGGTCAGGTCTCAGAGAACACGGAGGCTGCCACAGAACAGCCAGCTGTTACAAGTGAGCCAAGAATTAAAAATTCAGCTATTGCAGTGGCTTTAACAAACCAGTAACAACCCTTCTTCCTGATAAGCTGCAGAACAGAAACTTTTCAAACTTGCCTGGGAAATATTAACTCTTCCCTAGTCAACAAGATCCAAAAAAGCTTTGACTACTGCAGTTTCCAAATCAGCTAGAAGATGATCTTATGTTAACTGTGATGATGTTAGGGGTAAACTGAGGTGGTCTCAATAAGGAAGACACATGAAAATGGCTTGGGGAAGCAAAGCTCTCTCTCTCTCTCTCTCGGGTTTCTCTTACCTCGGGAATACTTAAAGAATCTTGAAACTCCAAGGTATAAAGCCAAAGGTCAGTGAGATGCTTGCCTATAAAGGAAGTTAAAGGAGAGTTTCTGGTAAGTTCAGAAGCACAGTACCTTGCTCAGCCTCAGTCACTGAGAGCAGTGCATTTGAACAAAAAGGACAAACTGGTCCTGCAAGAGATCCAGTGTGGAACTCTGCAGTGTACCAGTGCACGGTATGGACCTGTATTTCTAAACCTACTACTTAGCTTCTGACTGCACAACACCAAGAAGAGTGAATTTATCAAACCATCCCATTAGCCTCCTAACAACCAGCACTTTCGCTGATATTTTTATTTAAGTGGTTATGGAAAGGCAGCAAGTTACTGTTCATCTAGTACCAGAGATTCAGCACAAAAGCTAAGCCAGCAAGGCTGTTATACATTCAAGACAGCACAAGAGTTGAAAATCGTTTGCTCAGAATAAATGAAAATTTATTTAGTTAACATACATTTAGGCTTCCTCTCCACCTAACCCTGTAGTATGAGTATCTTAATTGAAAGCTAGCTATATAAAAACCAACTTGTTCTGTATTTAATCTCCAGCTTTGTTATCTGGGGAAAAAAAAACCAAAACCAAAACCACAAAGCAACAAGCACATTCTTTAAAGCCAGAGTTCAAACAGGCACTTTTAATGAACTTAGTAATCCACACTGAACTTCTTGAACTGAAACTTTACACACTCCAGTGTGGTCAAAACTCCAGTACAGCCTACAGCAGAAGTAAAGAAAATTCTAACAGCCATATAATTTCATTCTCCTTAACATGGTCAGCAAATAAATGCTGTTATAAACTAAATATGGCGGACAAAAAACCCAAACATAATATTTTCCTTCAATCCTATTCTGACATTGCACATCATAATTTAATTGAGCAACTACCATGACTACTGGATGCAAGCCACTCCAACTTCTGGAGATAAAAGTTTTTACTGAAGTTAAAGGTGCAACTAAAAAAACTATGTAAAAGTGAGGTGGTTGGTATTGGCGACTCTTTGGGGAGAGTTGGTTGTAGTCTGGTTGGTATTTTTTAAAATCCAGCCCATTCAGCAGCAGCAAAACAGTCAGTTCCAATGCAATTGCTGGTTACACATAGCAAAGGGAGACAACCAGGAGCCAGCTGAAGGATGTTACTGAATTAAGTTATCAGTAAAAATTTAAAAGTCATTTAGAAAGCAGATTTTACACTAAAGTCAAAATGATTTTGGAAAGTAGACACTGAGGTACCAAGAAGATAAAAGCTTCATTTGAGACAGGGTGTCTCTATGTAAGAGCTGTGCACCCCTCATCCAGCACCTCCACAGAACCACAACACTGAAGCTGAACTCTACAACTGCATCACTTCTTCAGTGGAACCCATATAACTTGTTCTACCACCAAACCCTGTTCAAGATGAATACAGAATCCACTAATTATACTGAAATGAGCTAAGGAGCTCAGCAGAGATTCAACACAGACCCCTGAGTGCAAGTGATATGCAGCTGCTTTGCCTTTGTCTTTAGTGCTCAACGTGACCCTCGGGGCAAAGTATCCTGTCAAACTTGGAACAACTAATGGTTGCAGTATTGAGAGCAAGCAGCTTCCCATGCATCACCCCCAAACAGCTGATGCTTGTTCCTGATGTAAGTGTGCACCATTATGTACTTGTCCATCAGCAGCAACACACACCTCCCTACAGGTTATGGCAATGTACACACCACCACGGGTATGCACTGGTCCCATGGAATTCTTACAACTTGGTCCTTTGTCTCACGTTATCAGACAAGCCCTCCTGCACCACACAGCAGTTTGTAACTTCACTGAAAGCACCAATATGGAGTTAGGAAACACCCCTAGGTTCTCCTAGGACAGACTGCAATGCATTTGACCCCCTAAAACACTTGCAGATTTAGGAAAACATTGGAACTGCTCTCAGTATTCCCCAGCATGATGCTGCTGCTGGAAGCAAGAAACAGTGGTCGTCAGCAGCAGTAGGATCAGGAGTTGGGCTCAAGACACAAAATACTAGCACATTTATAGCAAGCCAGCAAGGAGTGGATGAGCCACCAAGGCGTGTGCTGTCAGGGTGCAGCACTCGGCCCAGGGAAGCGCACGGCAAAGTACCGGATGGCGAGAGAAGCAAGAGGTGATGGCTCCCAGGAAGAGATTCAGAACAATCATGTTCTTGTCACCACTCTGCCATAAGATTACTAATTCGGGATAAAAAAAGATGGAAAATAATGATGTTTCAACAATAATTTTTTACTAGAATATTTTACTAGAATGTTGTAAGGTTTTTTTCCTCTAATCAAGACGCTCTGGGCAAAGCAAGAGATCTTTACAAACTCTTCAACTAAAGGAATGAAAGGAAGCAGAGAAAATCCTTATATAGAAGACACTCTTTTTATATAAAAATACAGATTTGGCTTCCAAAAGTGAAGTACAACTTCAGCAAGTGGTCAACAACTCACACTGTTCTACTAGTTGCAAAAACACCAACCTCTTATGTGTTTCCATCAGCAGAGCAGCTTCCACAACATGTCTTCAAACAAATCAGAACAAGGGCACAGGAAATATTTCCTTCCCATCATACATATGGCCAGCCTGTTTTAAGTGCACCTCAATATACAGGCTGTAACTAACATGACTTCATCACACTGAGGCAGAAGATGCCCAAACATAAGCTGTAAGTCTTAACAGCTACTCCAATCATTTATTTGGGTACTGGCATCTGTATTTTGAACATGATCTGGTCTTTCTGCATTTGCTTTCCCTCCCCTCAAGCCATACAACAACAAATCACCCCAGGAGCTCTAATAAGACTACAGCTTACTAGACAGAAGGAAGATGCTCCAAGCATCATAGCTACAACAAGCAGATGCCACCACTGCACTGAAAAGAAACAAGAACTACACTGCTGCCTTTATTTTGTTTCTTTACCACAACAGAAACCCCCTCAGCAGGACGTTATGGAAGAGGCAGGAAGATGTGTTTCTGGTACAAGTTGGAAGCCTCACCTAAGTATTTCTCATAGTGCTCCAAGATTATTAACTACTGTCCTTGCAGACTGCCTGTAACCACTCCCTGAGAAAGGAAGAAACAGATTATGATCGCCTTTGTGTAGCCTTTGACTCAAATCAGTAATTAAAAAAAGTATTTTGTGTTGAAAAATATATCAGCAGAAAATAACATTTATGGAAGCAGCTTCTCCAGCTACTAAACAATGCCAACACTTTTTCCTTAGCAAACAGCGTAACAATTCACCTGCAGACTGCTATTTATGCAACAAAACAAACCAAAAAGCTCTCTTGAGCATATGTTTTTAGCTCAATTAACTGCTGGAAACACAAAGACACTCTGAACTGAACTGTAAGAGCATCCACCTCTCCTCTGCTTTGGGCACAATGTGCCATTGTAACCGACAGCGTGGAGGGAATGGGACAAACTCCAGCACTCCTCTCAAGCAGATGCTGCACTCTCCAACAAACAGGAAAAACCTCCTTGGAGTCAGTCTTTACAGCTAATAGGACTGCACTGCTGGAATCACACGTGCAACTCGTGCTGTCAGGTCATCCCAGCAACCATTTATGTCAGGTGATCACACCAGTTATCTAGCAGTCATTTTTGAAGCAATCACCTTGTTACATACGTACAAAACAGTCTACTGAACTGATCCCCTGGTTATGTGGCTGTGCTGCACAGGTTAAACTGTTCTTTAAAAGCAGTCACAGCAACAGTTTGAAGGGCTGAGCAGCCTATTTCCCACTACATGCTGCCTGACAACCCCAGCTCTTACTATTGCACAATAAGGACACAATTCCTGTCTTCAGGAACTTTTAAACTCTAAGTGCAGCTTCCCCATTAAGCTAGCAATGCAGGTCTCGTATGCAAACGAACCCTCCATACAAGCAGTGGTATGTCTCTAAAACAAAAATCACAGAATCATTAAGGCTGCAGAAGACCTCCAAGATCATGAAGTCCAACCAGCAGCCCAACACCACCATGGTCACTAAACTGTGTCCCCACGGTGCCACATCCACATGGTATTTGAACCCCTCCAGGGCTGGGGACTCCAGCACCTCCCTGGGCAGCCTGGGCCGATGCCTCACCACTCTGCCAGGAGAGAAATTCTTCCCAATATCCATCCTAAACCTCCCCTGGTGTAACCTGAGCCCATTGCCTCTTGTCCTAGCACTGGTTACTTGGGATAAGAGGCCAGCACTCACCTCACTCCAGCCTCCTTTCAGGGAGTTGAGAGCCCTCAGCCTCCTCCTCTCCAGGCTAAACAACCCCAGGCCCCTCAGCCACTCCTCACAGGCCATGTTCCCCAGACCCTTCCTCACCATTTTAAAGACAGAAGTTACTCACAAATTGTCATTTTTTCCAGACTTTAACATGCAAGAAATTCCACATTTTTGCTCTGATTGCATTAACTAAGAAGGTATGTCTTTTCTAGAAAAATAAAGACAAGTTACCTAGTATTCATTTTGTGTGTCTGAAAACCTAAATAGGGATCAAGAACCAAACTAGTTGCTAGGTCATCGTTTTCACACAGTTCCTTGGCAGACATTCCAGAGGAAGGCACGTAACGACTCTGACCCTCAAATCCTGAAGCACCGCTACCTGCAAACAAGAGAGCATGAATTAGAACTCACTTAAAGAGTGTGACAAAGCCCAGCTGTCCTTGTGCACAGACAGCCACAGGTTGGGAAGAAAAAATACAGAACATCTAAGGAAGATGATAAAATATCTGAGCAGAAGCACAATTAATTTTTCACTTTTTTTGTTTACTTAGCAGCTAATGGAGAGAATACTTTCTAATGTATTTTATGGGTGCCTTTAACATTTTGGTTTCCTTTCTCTTCCCCTCCCCGATTACAAACATCTTCCAGACTACACAGTTCAGTTGTGCCTGCCTCTGAAGTTTCTGACCTATAAATGTGATGAAGCCACAAATATTTAAAACCAGATTTTCCCAAAATCTGAATACAGAATTTAGACCTTCATTCCAGAACACTAAAAATAAAAAAATACATGTTCCTTAAAACTATTTCATAATGCCTATTGATACATGTGACTTGGTTCAAAATGGCATTTACCTCTACACGTGCATTCACTGAAAGCTAGTAATTAGCCCAGTAACTCCAATCCCATGAGTTCTCATTTAGTGCCAGTCATGTATTTCATACTTATACCAGTTCAAATTTAATTTACCACCAGATCTCCTCACTTAACTGAAACCAGAGATCTACACTCCAGAAGTGAGCTAACACACAGCACACAGACAGCGTGACACTTGTGATGGCAGGCGCGTGCTGAGCACAGAGCTCCTCCAGGAGCCAGGACAGGAGGGGAGCCCAGCGCCAGGGGGCAGAGGGACCACACAGAGCACCACCCCCAGAAAGGTGCACATACATCTGCTCGATCTTCTCTCCACACCATGTTTGCCTGTCTTGGGAGTCTCCTTGCCCGCGTGCGGCAGTTTGGTCTGACTCTGCGCGTGGTCGTTAGATGACTTGCTTCCACTTCTCCTGCCATTCACCACCATGTTCTTGGATTCTCCCAGCCACTTCATTCCCACAGACAGGCTGACTCAGTCGCATTTAGTCACTTTTCAAAGGCTTGGAGAAGTGGATGAATAATTTCAGTTCC